CTCTCCTGAGTCTTCCTCTCCTGAGTCTTCCTCTCCACAAACACATCCTCAGACAGCTAAATTGTATGATAGCTGCCTGTCAAGGAAAGACGGGCTTCTGTGTCATTGCAGCCATATTATGAGATTATCCTGGTCACACATAGGAATAGGTTGAGACTTTGAAAATAGACATACACTGTATCTGGTGACAAGATGGTCTGGCTTTACTACTTGTGGCTAACAGAAAGCTGGGGTTTGTCTGTATTTGTTTACACGTAAGGGCTTTGAAACCACCTGTAGTAACCGGGCAGATGTGAAACTCTTTCCTCTCGTATTACAGTGCGCCACTTTTCTACATTTTCACTCACTCTCTCGGGAACTACAAACTAGGCCATCTGCTTCATTCAATGCATAGAAAGACTTCTGTTTAAAAGGTGAGTTACATTTTATTGGCAACACTGAAACAACCACGCTGAAAACCATAAACGCATGTTGGAGAACTCCAGGCTCTAAATCAAGCTGTTTCTTATTTAGGCAACTTCCATTTGTGGAGTGAAGTGCAACTGTGTATTTTCTTTTTTAAGTTGTCTGCAACTGGAGAGGGATGCATGTCATCACTTTTATGCCAAGCCTAATTTAAGTCTTTCACCATCACAAAACCATACTTATTTTCTTTTCTTATTTTTGCATATTCAGGAAGCTGTACATTTTGAATTCAGTATAAGTATTGATTACTTCTGTATCTCTCACATAGGGCTACACTAGAGATTATCAACGTAATGATAATCTCTAGATATCATCTTATATTTGGGTATCATCATAGTGTTGGGGTTGTCTTTTCCTGGGTTTAAAGAATACAGTAAAAAGAGGTCATTTTCTGAACCCACTAGACTCTTTTTAGCTTTGCTATTATTTGCCTTTCCTCACTTTTTCATTTACACAGTACTGATGGTTACTTATCAAAATGCTCACTGTGCAAATATTTAGTGAGAGAACCAATAGTCCACCCTATCATATTGTCTCCATCAAACAAGAATGTTGTGATATTTGATTTGCTTCCATATCGCCCAGCCTTTCTTAGTCTGCATCACTTTTTCCATGTGTTTGATCCCTCACTTGTCTTGGCTCACAGTAGGTCTTCTCCTCACCCTCTGACATTGTCTTGCTCTAATCCTGCGCTTTAAGCTCCTTTGGTAAGGGTTTGAATAGCTGTGATGTTCCTCCTGCTGTGAAATGACAAGACAAATACACTCAGCCTTTGCAAAAGCTTCTGTTGTAACTGACAACACTGACAAAGAGAAACTCAGCGCTCCTATGGTCTAGCCGACTCTTAAGTGATGCATGAACGGTTTGTATCAATAACACTTAGAAAGCAGAGGAACTAAAGGGATGTCGTCATAAGAACGATAATGTCATTACTCGAGGAAATATTTAACTGGCTAAGAAGTTTACCTCTTAGTGTTTGTTCAAGGCTCCTTAATACTTAAAACAACAAATATGGCCATTAAGTGTTAAAAGGTCAACCCCGGATGTGTTTCCATCCACTTGTTCTCATTTCAAAATGTGAGTGGATATGCTGCTTGGAGAACATTTTTTAAATAAAACGATTTTGAAAAAAGCTTTGGCAATCCACTGAGGTGAATAAGTTGATGTCGAGTTAAAAGCAACATGTGACACAGTGCAAATGAAACAGACTTAGGGTAAGTAACTTAAATCTCCACTGAAGCTTGCGTTCCAAGAAGAAACTAAAATGTGTGAAAACCAAGACCATTGTTTGACTGGAGTCTTTTGAATTACTTTGACTCGTTGCACCCTTTTTCTTGGTTTCTGTGCAGTAGTTGAATGGCACCTGACAGGAGGATTACTACCACCATGTTAGTGATGAACCTCCTAATAGTCACATCACAGTAGTGGCTGGAAATGCACGTTAATTGAAAACTTCTTTTGCGCTATATTTCGATGGAAACTTGGCTAATGTCAACACAAGGGAAATTGTAACGTCTCCGTTTACTTTCTTCTGACTGAGTGATGTCGACCTCTCTCCAGTGTATCCCCTTCCATTTCAAACAATTAACTCTCCCAGTTCAAGATTGTTTTAACAGGTGCCTTATTGGAACACACAGCCTTGCGCACACACTTAAATCTAATAATCCAGACCAATTTAACCATAAAGCTGTCGCAGGAGAGGGGAAACAGCCATTTCCTCTCTGACCAAAGCTGGGCGGCAGCGCCAACACCAAAGCCGCACACTTCAGTTCACCTTTTGAGCTGTGTATTTGTGTGTCAGGGCTTAGGGAGTATGTGGTGCAAGAGCACTCTGCCGCTTCCTGCTCTGTAATGGTCAAATGCCACTGGCTCAACAGTGTTTCTCTTGACAAACTAATACACACTTGTGGAGAGGTCAGTCCGCAGTGGAAGCCACATCCTGTTCACTGGAATTGCTTTGAGTACTTCAGTGCCGTGTAACATTTTAACGAAACATTTCCAACATTGCTCATGAATAAAAAGTTAGTATTAACCTTTTTGTATTCAGTTAAGGCTCGTTTTCTCTATTAAAGCTCACATATTATACTTGCAGTCACTCTACAGCTCCCTTGGAGTAGTTTGAGGGTTAAACGAGGGTGGAGTGTTAACTTTCCCTCTCTTGTCCATCCTAACTGGTGGAGGTTTGAGTTGGTGACCTTTCAATGTAAGCAACTTCCCACATTCCTAAACTCCTAACAGCACCCACAACGCCCTCCCTCCTCACAGGCCTGAATCCTTACATACTAATTGCTCATCCATTACTCAAAACCACCTGTACTCTGCCAGTTGTCTGAATATGTTCAAAGAGATCCCCACCCTGTGACATTTGCGTCTACGCACACACCGGGTCATTGCAGTGTAAAGCGGAGGGGCGTGTGTTGTGTTGTCATTAGCTTCTCCCCTTCCTAGAATAAAGAAAGAAAAATGCATCACTCTCTTTTATTCGGAGTACACAGCCGCGCACACATCCAAACAGCGCTGCTAAATAGATTCCTGGCAAACACAAGCTGTGTTGACAGGAGAGATGAGCTGCTGTTCCTGTCGCAGCTTGCCTAAGGCACAGAGCCGGGCCCTCGTTCAAAAAGAGCCGCCACTGTTAAAGCCACAAAGCCAGCAGACTTGTTGCTACTGCCTCTGCCAACACACACAAATACACACAAATACAAACACACACACACACACACACACACACACACACACACACACACACACACACACACACACACACACACACACACACACACAGTCGTGCATAGCTGCATCAAAGGCGGTCGGGCGGGTGTTTGACTATTTGAACAGGTGATTCCCATTTACATCTGCTGACTGTATTGGCTTCATGCCTTTTAGGAAGTCACACTGTCAGGCGAGTCAATCATGCACTCCTAGTTGCACGATCATTTAGCTTATCATTGGAAGTGATGTAGTAAAGGGGACTGATTTGTTGGAGGTGTAATCTTCTCAACTAAATTGAGTTAAGAAATCTGAATTTGAGTTTTCATTTGCAAGGGCTATAGATCCTTTACAGTTTTTGTAAGTTACTCTCTTGTCTGATCAGTGGCTGTTCTTCTAGTATGACTGAGTTGAAGAATTGCATTTCCCCAGAGCTTCATCATTTTATTGAGATGGATTCGTCGGCCTATCTGACAGATGCCCTAGTGACTCATGCCCTAGTGACTCATGATGATTACCAAGTTGTAATTTGAACCATTTCCATTCAATTGCCATATTTAACAAAGCATGTTTAATTGGGACATGGTTTTTGAGGTTTTGGATTTCCCAACCACACACCACAACATCAGATACTTAATGTAGGCCACGCAACATAAACCTACACTCTACTGAAGTTTATGAATGTGCATCCTGTCTGACGGGTGCACAATTAATATGTAAACCTTAAAGGGGACCTATCATGCAAAATGCACTTTTGTACGTCTTTTATACATGAATATGTGTCCCCGGTGTTCCAGGGAACTCACCAAGTGTCAGAAAACACAACCCTCTCTATTTTCCTCTATACCCAAATCTCTAAAAAAGGGGCTGCAACGGATCTGATAAAAACTGATCCAGATTTGAACACTGTCCTGACGTCAGGACAGTGGCGCTACGGCTATTGGGCCAACTCCACCAATCAGGAGGAGACAGCCACAGCCATTGCCGTTCGAAAGCGCTGGAGACGCTGTAGTACATATGCCAGGCCTGTAGGTGGTGCTGTTCTCACAGAATCTGCCCTTGCTAAAAAAATGTCAAATTGAGCAAAATGATGCATGGCTAAAATGCATGATCTGTTTGGTATTTTGAAAAAGTATAAATATGCCTTATATAGGTATGGTCCTACACTATATTATTCAAATATAGCATGATAGGTCCACTTTAAGTAATTTTTCTCTCTGGTGACTGGCTTCAAAACCGATGGAAACAACTTGATGAATATGCATAGTAATTTCATTTATTTTTAATTAATGAAATACGTTTGTATCTGCTGTTACTTGAAAGATACTTCACTACATTTGCAAAAATGTTTTTTGAATAATCGTTTTTCCCTAAAACGAGACAAATAATCGTAAAAACAACAGTTTGCTTAAATAATAAGCTCCTACATATTAATCAGTCTGCGACCCTTTCCCCTACAACTAATGAAACCTTTAAAAGGTAGACTGTAAAGCACTCCGGGGCAGCTGCACCCCTCACCCACTGCTTGATTCCCCTCCTACCTCAGTAATTACCAATGTCCTGCGAGCCCCTCACCCTGACTTCATCCATTAAAGGCCCAAAAGCCATTTCCCTAATCAGTGCTGGTAGGGGTCTGGCTCCTGGTTGGCTTCTGTGTTTTATGTCAGTGTTACAGAGGATAATCTCACTTTGATGTTGGGTTGGTAAATTGCAGTTGACCGTCCACCGTGGACGTGCCATTTATGTATTTATGTTGAAAACCACTAATTCACAATGTCCTCTTTTTTTTTCCCATGTTCCTGTCCACTTCCTTGCCCATAATTCAGAGGGGGACAGAGGGTTTCTGGAAGTCGGTGGCTCAGTATGTGCCTCGGGAGCCCACAGAGATGAGAATCCTTAACCCCTACTTCATCCAGGAGGCTGCCTTCCAGTTCATTGGCCTGCCCTTAAACAACGGCCTCATGGGCAAAGGGGTAAGACACATGCAGGCATCAGTGTGACAATATCATTTAGAAAAATCAACAAATTACAGTGATGGTGTTCAAACTTAACTATTGAACTGAGAAATGTGGATGCTGGTCTGCTGTTTCTTGGTGCATATGTCCTTTATTTTATCAGGTATGTTTATCACCCATGTACGAGGGAAACAGTAGTACCAAAGCTATATCATTGGGATGTCGTTTTTCTCAAGTTTCACCATTTTTCTTAAGTTGTAAAGGATCTGCTCGCCAGTATTTTACTTAGTATGTTTGTCCTTTAGTTTTTGTTTCTGGAGGACTCACTTTACCTCTGAGTGGCAGTATTTCTTTCAGCGTTATCAAAATAAAAGGAGAATGAAAGTAGATTAAGAGGAAATACCAAACAATTTCTGATTGTTGACATTACTCCAATATAGAAAAACCTGCTTCAACCCTGGTTTGAATTGTACAATACTCCATTGTTTTATTTAATGTTAGAAGTTAAGGTATGTGCTTTGTTAATGAAACATGTTTGTCTGGACTTGAGATTGCTGACTCAGGTCTTGACCAGAGAACATTTTGTTAAATAAAGTTTCTTAACTGGTGCCAACAACCAGGCTGTAGGAAAATACAATGATTATGAAGATGTAATGCTAAAGGGTAATATTAGAGGACTAACTCAGAGAATTGGAGAGATGTGAGGAGTGTATCACCGTACCTTTGCCCTCTGGGGCCACCAGAACACCCCTGCATGAACTCCGCTCTGCAACATGTGTTCAACATGTGGGCATCTGGCCTAAGAGTGTGTGTGTCGGAGAGAGAGTGAGAGGGTCATTTGTGTGTGCACGTTTGTGTCTGGGTGTTTGCAGCGCTGTCTCATACAATACAGGCTGCAGAGTTGTATGATTTGGCACATTCTCTCCCCAGCACACTCTCCTGTCCGTCTTCTGACCACCGTAGTTTATGTTTATGTATGTGGAAATTAATGAGCAGGCCTATTTGTTATCCCAGTGTTTATGTTGAGTGTGTGTGCGAGTGTGTGTGTGTGTGTGTGTAAATTAATCTGTATTAGAACACGCAGTAGGAGGTTGGCCAGCTGCTGGTTCAGCTCCACCTACCCCGAGGGCTGCAAATCAGGGTAATGATTTAAATGGGGCCTCCCTCCGCTCTTTCTTCTGCACCCACTTTTTTTTTCCAACATCCACACACACGGCCCCCTGTACCCCCCAGATCTGTGGCAGCCCGAGGCGGTTAGGAAGCACAGTTCAACCCTGTAGATCAGTGTGTCGTAGCAGGGGTCGCGTCTTAAAGGTAATAGTTAATCACCAAGTGCTCAAAGTCAGTTAGCCGTAGTGGAGCAGAACAAAGACAGAGGTACACGGGAGGGGGGGGGGGGCAGATACATGAGAGGGGTCGGACATCTGTCTCTGTGTCAGAAACCATGATCAGTTTCAAAACGGTCCTGTAAATGATCATACTGCACATGTTTTTGTCATCATTAATCATATAATAAATCATATAAATGCTCCTGGCGTATGACAGACTGCATCTCTGCTTTATTTTATTCCAGAACATTCCAACTTTGGGAACAGTTGCTATAACGATGGCGCTGCATAACTGCGACGAGGTTGCGGTGGCTGGTTTCGGCTACGATATGAACACGCCCCACGCGCCTCTGCACTATTACGAGACCGTCAAGATGTCTGCCATTAAAGAGGTGAGTTCTGAGCACCGCACTTACTTTTGATGTGTTTCGGTGAGAGCCATTGAAAATGTACAAATCTGTTCTACAAGAATGGCACATTTGTACGTTATCACGGCACTTGGCTGTAACATTCTCTCCATGCTAATGAGAACAATATTTTCTGGCTTCTCCCTGGCCACTGTAGAATAACTGAAGAAACAAATGACTGTAATCTTTGATGAGGCGGGACCACCACTCCTGTGGAGGAGAGGTGAACTGGCCTACAGCCAAAATACATTCACTACAAAGCCCTCACTGTTTAGGCTGATGGTGATATTAGTGTAAGAATTATGCATGAATTGAACTTCTCTCAGCTCTTGTATTTGCATCCAGAGATATGACCGTTTAAACGTTTTCAGCATGAACATTGTAGCACAATGTGTGGAGTCGCACTAATAGCATCTGTCTCAGGCTGATCAGATGCTCGTTCTGACAGATGAAGTCATTCATACATACACAATATAACTGCTAAGGTGGGAGGAAAAATATCTGCGGTGTGTTGCAGTTTCGCCTGTAGTGCTTTTTCTATATATAATAATTGTTTTATAATTTAAAGTATGCATGTTTGGCTTGGGTTTCAATTTAAAACAAACAAACTGTGGGGTAAACTAAAACTTAAAGAACAGTTACACAACGTGCAAAAGCTGTACCTGGTACATTGAACTGTTTAAGTATCACGGCCAAGTTATAGTATCAACATATCAGAAGCCTTTTTGGCAAGCTGACATTTGAATGAAACATCTATTATGGTAAACATGCAGGAAAATGCCTGAGTGAGTGGTTAATCAATAAGAATTCATCTTTACGAAAACAAATTAAAGGGGCCCTAATATCGTTTTGGGGTTTTCCTGTAGTGTGTCATATAGGTATTTGTGCAATGGTCTGCAAAAGTTAAAATCCCAAACTTCCCTCGAAGAACCGCCTCGATTGGACCCCTTTGTTTACTTCTGTTAGATTGTGACATCACTATATATGACTCGCGTTTCTATTGGCAAGCGCTCCAACACATTGTACATCACGTACAGGTTAAGGGCGGGATATTTCTAAGCAGTTGACCAATCACCACAGAGCCGGCCAGCTAACCAATCAGAGCAGACTGGGCTCTGGTTTCAGACAGAGGGTGAAAAGAGGAGCTGCAGCACAGGCAGTATGAGAAAAATAAAGAGCTTTTTGAACATTAAAGCATGGAGACATGTCACAGTAGAGACACAAAATACAAATATTAAAATATAAGAAAATGAGCATAATAAGGCCCCTTTAAAATGTTGACTAAATATATAATTGTATAATGCAAAAGTGTAGTTTTCTAAGGTGTAAGGTACATAAATCCTGCTGTTTTTTATGTCTGTGGTTGTTAATGTGTTTTAATGTAGCACAGGTTTGTTCAATGCTATATGTGCATTTTTAAAACTCTTTTTGTATTCTCTTACATTAGGGGTACTGAGGACACAAAACTATATTACACTAAAACTGAATTTAGTAACTCTAATAAATAAAACCTAACTATAAGAAAAAGGTCAAATCTGTATTTCCCCCACGCTGAAGCGACACTGGTCTTTCATCAGTCGCTGCATCAACACGCTAACTGTTAGTGTGTCGCTTTGAATCGTACTCTAAACGGGCTCATGACGGATCTCTCTCCTCTCCATCAGTCAAGTCTTCCTCTCGGTGTTTACACTGAAACCCAGTGGAATCAAAGATGTCACCCGTGTGCTGACGTGTGTAAACCATGAGCTCAGTATGATGATAACCTTTGTCTAAACTCCCAGTGAACCTTTGGCATTTATTATCATCATCAACATGGCTATCATCAGACACACGTGGTTAATTAATGGGAATACTTTTTTGTTTGGAAAACTTTAAACCACCGCCACTCCCTGGGGCTGTTTAATTCTCTGGAAGCACGTGAAACGTTCCACTTATTGTTCCACTTCTCTGGAGATTTCCTATCTGGACGGATGCTTTAAATTCTCCACGGAAATTGTGTAATTATCCGAGATACACAGAGATTGATGATTAAATACTACATAAATCACCTTAGACAGCGCGATGCTACTAAGGTCATCTCTTGTGGTGTATAAGGCACTCTATTATAGTTTGTCAGAGTATCTTGTGCCTCTACTGTGACATGTTTACACGCTTTAATGTTCAAAAAGCTCTTCTCATACTGCCTGTGCTGCAGCACCTCTTTAAACGTCTCATATCTGTTATTAATAATGATATGTCAGTCTTGTATAAACAGCTTGTTTCTGACTTTCAGACCTACCTCAAATTAAATAGCATTTCTTTCTGCTACAGCATAAGGATCTGCTCTGTACAAACTTTAAGTACCAAATTGGAGAGATTAACATTTAGGATTTCCACAGTGCCTCCTGTGTGTGGTTACCAGTCCAAATAATGTCTTTCCTGTATCTTATGTCGATCATGTCCAATAAAACTGTAGCTTATTGTTCCTTGTGGTCCTGCTGCGACCCATCAGGCAGTGGTAGGAGGTCCGACCCAGACAGGCTCAGTAGGAGAGGACAGAGCCGAGGCAGCTGCAGGGCCCAACCTCTCGAAGCTCTCCACTTTCTTTCCCTCTTCCTATTCCCTCCTGTATGTTTCTTCCTCCACCTTTGTGTCCTTCATTTGCTCTCTGGCTGTTCTCGGCATCCCAACGCACCACACAGGAACCACCGGCTCTGATTACATGTCGGCCCACCGGACTGGATCCTCATAGCACAGCAGGGAGGGAAGCTGACCCAGTGTGGCCTTTCATATATATATGCACATATGAACGCCCACACGTATAGACACTGGGAATAGGAAAAATCCAATTCTAACCTACAGATTTGAGTGCATATAGCTGTAACGTTGTGTCCTGACATGGATCACAGGTTATTTTCTCTATCACTCTTGACTTGTTTTTTCTTTCTGTTTGTCCTGCAGTCATGGACACACAACATATCCAAGGAGAAGGAGTTCCTGCGCAAGCTGGTGAAGGCCAACATCATCACAGACATGACCAACGGTATCTGAGTTTACAGTCTCCCCTCGCCTTCCCCAAAGGACTACGAAACAGGAAACTGAGCAATGGATCGACTCTGGGAAAAAGAACCCTTTAGAATCCGGGTGGCCTGTCGTTTTCATATCAAAGGAGATTATTTAACAGGAAAAAAGAAAAAAAAAATACAGATACAGGAGGTTTTCTGTGGAGAGATGTGCCTTCTGAACCAAAGACTCCTGCTGATTGAAGCAGGGAGCGGGGGGGTGGACACGGAGGACTGGTCCTGCCTGTCTTATCGAAGGACAGCGGCAGCGAGGCTCTGTGGCCCCGCGCTCTAAACGTTTACCACTTCATCCCCTGGAGTATCACATGGGTGAATAATAAAGAGAAGTTTGACAGATGTCGGGATCCAGCTCACTGGCTGACATGTTGAAGGGACAGAAGAGAAAGGAAAGAGGAGAGCGTTGGGGGGGTGGGTCGATTATTAGCAGTGCCAAACGTACCTCGTTCAGGGGAGAGGCCATCCTCCTCCTTTTGCTGCCTGAATGTATTCACTTTCCTCAGTGTAAATATCAAAGATTTTTACTGTGCTTTTTAACAAGCTGGAGCAGCATCCCCCCCCCCCCCCCCCCCCAATCGCCATTTGTCCATTCATTCACTTTTTTACTGCCTGTCTAGGGTCCAAAATGAACACTTGCCAAACCAGTTGACAGTAGATAAATCAGCGGGGGTCACCTGCCACACAGACTGCTGTCACTTCGAGTCGCTAACAGTCGAGTGGGTTACATTTTTTCTCAGTTTTCTCTGTAAAGTCTTTGTAAGGGAATAATATCAGGCTGTGTAAATGAGTTCTTTCTGCGACACAGAGCGGCTGTGTGAGTTATCCCCATGTGGCTCTCACATTAGGTCCCCAGAAATATGAAGCTGTATGAGATTCTCTACACAGGGGAAATGTATATGAACTAAATTATTTTAATTTTGGGATTTTTAATTTTGGGATATTTAATTTAGACGCTCCGCCAAAGTTAAATTCAGACATCTTCCTCTCTCAAGTCTCTTTGTAAATCCCTCATCCTCTCGCCCCGGCCATGTCACGGTACTGCCTTCATCTCTTCATCAGCTGCAGAGCCTCCGGGCCGCAGCGCAGCCGCACAGCAGCGTGTCCCGCCGCGGTCAGGGAGAACACGTCCTGTATCCCTCCTCCAACCTCCAACCTCCCACATTTTCTTGTTCTTGGGTTAATGGTGAAATCTCAGATTGTAGAATGTAAATATATATTTTTGTTTTTCGGTCAATATTAATTATTTATTTTGTATTGTTGCGAAGTCTCAACTTCTTTCGGTCACAGGTAGGCCTGCTTTCTGTTGTTGTTGTTGTTGTTGGAAGAAAAACAACAACATTTAGAATTTTCTTTTCACCACCGTGTTTCCACAGAGACGGCATCATCTTTTAAGTTTGTGGCAGAAGCAGTGTTGTGCTCTAGCCAAATAGTTTCAGTAATAAATGTTAGACGGCTAACCTTTATGACCGTGTTCTAGTTAACTGTGGAAACATAGAAGCACATTTCTTTAAATCGAGGGGATCTGGGTTGATCATCTCCACGCTCAATCTCCAATGAGCACGATAGACGTGCTGAAGGTCTTTGCACTTCGCAGATGAAGGTACCACACTCATTTTAGTATTTCAACTCTGCATGAACATAGAACATGTTCAGTATTACACAATCAACCCCTTTGCCTCTCCTTCTGCTTCCTCATGCACAAGATGTGAGAATATCAAAAAGGCACATCTGTTTTTTTTGTCATTGTATCAAATCAATGTGGTAATCATCTTTATATAGTGATGGTTCATTTGAATACTGCTTTATCAAAGCAGGGATTTGTTTTAAAGTTTTTTGTTGAATGACATTTAAATGAGGTTTTCTCTTTCTACTTCTTGCATATTGACTACACACAGATTCTCTTCCATTCCTGTCAATCTGCTGCAGTCTGTTTCATTCTTCCATACGTTCCTGTTCCCTTACACTCTCTCTCCGCTGGGCTGTGCAGCAGTGTGTGTGTGTGTGTGTGTGTGTGTGTGTGTGTCCCGGTCCCTGTTGAGAGCGAAGGCTCAGGGAACAGCTGACCATTGCACTATCACAAGGCGCTCTCAGTGCCTTACACCTCATCTCCTGGAAACTGTAGCGAGGAGAGCCGCCACAGCTGATCCAGTGTCTGAGATCAGCTCCGGGTCAGGACTGGTCAGTCTTCATTTCTGTGATTTGGGACCAGTCCATTTCATATCTGTGCTGTATGTACATTATATACAGTGTGGGAAGACCTGAAGCTCCGTACTTGTTGTTTAGTGTGTTTTAGCCCAACTAAATATTCCAGTTTCTGATTATGGCAGCTTTCATGATGCGAGAAATGACTAAACCAGCTTCCTCTGTGGTTCCTTATTCCTGATTTTAGGCAGCATACATTATAGGGGCACTACACCAATTGACCAGCCTGTAGGAATCTGTATAATGTCTGTAATATCTTTGTAAGGTCTGAGGAAATGTAGCATCTTTTTTTAGTTTGGAGCTTAACTCATATTGGGGATTTAAAGTCTGGATATTTTGCTCTCTGCTGCTACGATTTTGATTCAATTCATTTTTTAAATCGGTCTCTTGTGAGAGTGCAATGCCAGATCACGGGAGAACCTCTTGCATTCTTGAACGTGAAAACATCGAGTTTGAAACTGGTCTCTGCTGACTGCCCCAGGACCGTATCACTATAATGTGACTTGACAAAGAAAAAAGGAGACTGTCATAGAATATGTCCAGTAAACAGGTCAGATGTATAGTGTACTGAAATGATTTGAAACAAGTGGCTCCTTTGAAGGCAGAGAAATCCATCTGAAATATCATCGTGTTTTTTGGAAAAGGTCATTAATAAAGCATGTGAAGTCAGTGGGCTAAAACACACCAAACCACCAGTACGGTCTTTAAAGCTCTGAGACTAAGCAGACCCTCAGTTGGAGTTTCTTCTTCTGTTTTTTTTGTTCTTCTTCTAGGTTATGAATTTGTACGCATGCTGGAGGAGTTCAAATGAGTTGGACCCAAATCGCCTCATCTTCATAACCTGTTCATGTTAAAGCAGAATGTATTCGCTTTGATCATCGATCATATTTCAAAAGATTTTCTTTTTTTCATTCCTCCATGATCAGAAGGAAGTCAAAGTGTTACCGTTTTTTTATATACAGTTATAAATGGCTTTCTGCAACTCAATAAATACGTTTGTAATGGATATTTGCCTGTGCATGTTTGCATCTTTTGATCTGTGTTTTTTGTATGTGTCTTTGTATGTACATATTTCTGTACAATGTGAATTTTCAGTATATATAGTAAATATTTTTGATGTATTTAGTCTCTGTTTTATCTCCAAAGACATTTCCTTTATTTAGTCTCCTCAGAAGTCTTCTCAAAGCACATTGTGGCCTTAGGTGCCATGTATAGTTGAGTTATGCGGCATACATCAGGTGTTATTCTGTCTGTGTGTCACTTAGTCTTTCAGAGGTTACAAACGGCAGGAAGCGCACAGTAAAGATGGAGCAGCGTGACGGAGGGGATTTCCTCTCCTGCTCTGTATCTCCTACCTGCAGAGCCAGAGGAAATCATTTTTCAGTCCTCTATCAACCGGACTTCCTCCCTAATGTATCTCCTTTTTTCTCTAGTGTTTATATCTGTCCCTCCTGGACTCTCACTCCACTCCTCTTCACTCATTCCATTCTGCTGTCTGTTCCCATCCCGGTGCCGTGTATTTCTTTCCCTTCACCTGCTGCACTCTGAGGCAGATCTGGTTTCATTGCTGCAGCCATGAGGGGCCTATTGGGGACACACACACACACACAGTTAACACACAGGCCATGAATCTCTCACTCACTTTCACACACCACAACTTCACCATAAACCAGAGGAGCTTTACAGAAAATGAGTGAGAGCTGGCCGTCCAGCTGTGGCTGCTGCAAGTCAGTTTTTGATGTGAGGGAGAAGACGCTGAGGGCCCTTAAAGTGCCGCTGGACCGTCCCATCCTGCTGTTAATGGGCTGCCAGAAACTCTCAGTCATGCCTCGCCGCTCACCAAAAGCACCCGGCTACTCTTGACTCGACAGATTTCATCCACAGGGCTGGATCGAATGCTCGCTGCAGGAGGATATTTGCCACCTGGGATCTCCCCGAGGCAGCTGTCCCGGCTGGAGGCGGTCGTTCCCGTTTGTCCGACATTCAGGGGTATGAGCACGCCTGCACCTCTTCAGCCGACGGGCCTTTTATTCCCTGCGACAGGTTCCCCGCCCCACCTCCTCTCAGTAGGATTGGAACGGAGGGGCCACGACCTCCGGGGCCTGAAACTTGAACTCCTCGTAAAAAAGAGTTGGAATGAGGAGAGAAAACACCCTTTTCAGGCACCCGTTTCTTCCCCTCTGTTTACTTAATGTCGGGTCAGCTGAGATGAGGGAAAACAACATTCCCTTCTTTACACAATGTCCCACATTCATCTACCTTTGTCTGCGGACGGGACACACCTACAGGCCTGTCCTGCACCTGTATCACTCAAGGGCTTGTTCGCCTGTCAGCGGGCTCAACTTGCACTTCTAGACGATATATTTTGATGTATAGATTCAGAATTACACAGAAGATTGAAAAGATAAGAGGACTGTTAAAATATGTCAGTGTTCCTGATCGTGAGTCTGCCTGATTGGAACACAAACAAGGGCTCAGAGGCAACCCATACGTCAGAAACATCTGTAAATTAGGAAACACTTCTCAGTCAGCTACGTGGCCTTTAGGATCAAGTATGAGGAGAAAGTACAACTACATTTTTTGTACAACTTTGACAGTAATACAGTGAGTAGCCTACTTTTTGCCACACCTTGCTCAAAATACAGCAATCAAATAAACACGTCGTTGAAGTTTTAATCTGCCGTTCAGAAGCTTCAGCAGACATGAGTCACATGCCTTACATATACGTCATTGTTTATCTATTAAATCTGACAGTTTTTGCTTTTATTGATGCACTATTTATGCCACCTGAACCAATCTTGATTTTTTTTTGTGCAATATTTCAACATTTACAGGATTTCCTGTACTTTCATTCAGGTTTTTTAACGCACAAATTGAAACTGTGAAGCTCTAGAAACTTGTCTTTTGTTGGCATGTCAGTAGGCCGAAGAACATTTTTACAAACTCAGTATTGTTTCTTTGAATATACCCAAACGTTTATTTTATTCAAATTATCATTATTGCTGTCCATGTTTGAAATAGGACTGAAGCCAGAGAGACATCTGAAGTGTTACCAGTACACACTGTTGTACTCTCTGTTGTGTACTCTGCTCATTCTCCATCCGTCTGCATAATAACGCCTCTAATCAGGCCATGTGCCGACACTTTGCTTTATGGTTTGTTTGTATGAACAGGGATACAACAAATCTGCAAGAACGCGCCTTTGAAATGCTTGGATGAAAATATAAATCACAGCAGATTTATCCGTGCTGTATTCACTCGTTTGAGCTAATGTGGAAACACGTTATGGAGTACACATTTGTGCAGCTCCAGTCTGACTTTGACCCACAGATTTGGCTTTTGTTTTACAGATATTGGCCTGAGGGTTTTGGACAGTGTGCTGGATAAGGGGAGTTCCTACTTGAAAAGTGAAAACAAACTTTGAGATCTGGATCAGGCCCAAGAAAAGGAAGGCACTTTAAGATGGAGAGGCCCAGAAGAGACTGAGACCTGTGACCCGAAAGAAACACGAGGAACCTCAGAGGGAATTTTAAATACAGTTAACTGTCCATCACATCTTTCCTTAGAATCACCAGCCAAAATTCAAATCACTCACCCTGTCCCCCATCAGGTCCTCAACTTGTAGGGACTAAGCAGCTCCATACCAGCACCTTGTATCCATGGAAACAGCTGTGTATATCCCTAACAGTCAACCTTTACCGACAATAAATCAAAATTCTAGCGTCTTCAATTCAATCCAGTTTATATGCTTACAAGGAATTGAAAAATGCCACAGCTGCCATCATGTTCCTGCAGCTCCCAGGAGGCCAAACCTGTAAATGTGCGTGTGTGTTTGTGTGTGTGCGCATGCTGGAGATGCATGTGTGTTGTGCTTGCATGGGGTGTACAAACAGTGTCATGCTGCAAATCCCTCTCACAATGCCGTACAAGTTCATCGGCATTGCTCACCGTGATGGATGATGTAGACACACTTCTGAAGTTGTGGCCCTGGTTGCAGTGCCGTGCCGTCTGCTGGAACACAGTTTACACAGTGACTCATTTTATTGAGGACATTTTGCACTCTGGAGGTTATTATCTGATCTTTTCAAGAGGAGGACTGGTATTTTTTGGCAGCCAACTCGGCTTGATGTGTGTGGTATTGTGTGTTTAAGCAATAAAAGGGGCTTGTTCTGGGTTATATTAGGTGTACAAAGCCATCTTCTACTACTCAACAAGTCCCAAGTCATGACCCTAGCAGGTCTTTCGTCCCTCCTGTTGCTCTTGGGCTTATTCTTATTATGTGACGGTACATTCCTGCATGTCATGCACCTCAGCTGTGTGCATTGTTGCCTTGTTGCTTGCTACTATTTATAGCATCGGTGCAGAGCTCAGGGATCCTCCCTGCATTTGTCTCTGCCTCGGTGCGGAGAGTGGGCCTGCAGAGGAGAGCGAGGAGCTGTTTACCCAGCCTTTGTGCTCCGCGGGCCTCAGTGTTTGCCCTGCAGGGAGTGCCTCAGCCGGAGGGCCTTTCCGGGCTTTGCAGGGTGGGTGGGTACAGAGGGGTGGCAGGACGAACCAACCTGCAGGGTGGAGGGGTGGAGAGGGGCCGGGAGCTCAGCTGGTGGGAGGTGTGTGGCTGCGGGTGCAGTGAGCAGAGGGTCCGGGGTCCGTCTTTACTTCACTCATCCTTCAGGCCTGACAGCCTGGTAAAAAAGGCAGGGCAGGACTCACTGAGCAAATACATGAAGCAGAGTGACAAACATGCATTAGTGTGTGTGAGTGTGTGTAGGCCTACAGGTGCGTGCAATCAATCACACAAGTTCACATGGGAGGATTAAGGTTCTACTGGGAAGGGTCTCAAGGGGTCAATGGGCCCTCATGCCAGAGCCTCTGTAGAACAGACTCACAAAGAGACACTGGCAACTACAAAGACACACAAAACAACTGCAAAGAGATACAAATTGACCACAAAGAGACTTGGCTGCATCTTTTGTAGTCGATCCGTGTCTCTTTCAGTCAGTCCTGTGTAGGAAAGGTGGGGGCCTTTCACATGTCTGTGCCCAGGGGCCCATTGTATCATTACCCGCCCATTCATGTCTACCCATGCTCCATGCACATGTCTGTAGTGTGCCTAAAAGTGGAATATAGTGAAACTCTCTAAATGTGTGAGTCAGAAAGTGTAAGTCTGAAGGACAGATGTCACTTTCTTCCACTGGAAGTCTTTTCCAGAAACGCTCCATGACCGTCCTCCTGTGTGACAATCAATCCCCTCCCTCCTCCCAGCGCAGGAACAAAAAGACATCTGAGCTATGTGTTTGGATGGGGAAGAGAAATCGCAGCACTTTGTACAGCGGCCACCGCACTCCGGTTTCACAGAGCCTCTGACAGGCGGAGCGGCGCGCTGCTTTTACGCATAGCCTCCAGCCCTGCGAGGCATTGTGGACATTGTTCAGTCGCTGGGTAGTAGACTCCTGAGAAGACACCGGAGCGGCACAGTCTCTAATAACTGGATACCTGAGGCCGAAGGAAGAGATCTTTGGAATGGAGACTCGGACTGTGGCTGCGTAAAGGCGCGACGCGTGGATTTTTTACGTTTAAATTAATATCCTGACGCGTTTTTCTTCTACATTGAACTCCACATTTAAATCCGCGTTTCCACAGGCTGGCGCGTAAAAGAAGAAGAAAACAAGACTTTGGTTTTTGAGTGTTTCAGAGTCTTTCCTCGGACCTTTTTTAAACTCTGACGACCTTGACTTCTCTTTAAAGTGACGTAGGACACGTTGTGAGAGATTTCCCGAGTTGTTATTTACTCATTAACCTGACGAGCTGTTTGGAAGCAAGACTGAACAAGTTACTGGAGGTAAGGAAAGGAAAGGGGAGTCATGCCTGAAAAACTGGCTTCAATGCATTAAACGATGGTTGGATGTGAGTCAGCAGAGACAGCACGAGCTGCTAGGACAAACATTGTTTTGCTTTTGCGAATGTTTGACTTTTACTTCTCTCCCGGTCACAGTGTTGGAGTATTTA